TACGATTTTCATAATCTGATTCCTCAACATGACGTTGGTGACCATATGAAATTCCTACAGGTTGGTTAACCGGTTGATTTGCATGAGGCCTGATGTTTGGTCCTTGATTGGCAACAAAGTTACCATGATTTGGGCCATTACCATTAGCCTGAACATCTATTCCCTCATTAACACGTGGGGTATTCTGCCTATTGTTTAGGACATTATCTCTTACATTTGAATTACCCCCCAAGTTAGGTGTACCACTACCATTGTTCTGATTTGGCACTGCACCACCCCCTTGGTTTGAAGTAGAGGGACCAGAAAGTGGTTCTACCCCTTGATTCGGATTTAGGACTGAGGGATTATGTCCCACAATTGTCCTAGTTTGAAAGTGGTTTGCAAGAGGCAGAACCGGTTGGCATATTTGGCCTACTAACTTATTCATTATTTCGTTCAAAGTGTTTAGTTGTTTGGCCATGTTGTCATAATGTGCATTCCCATTTTGGGTAAATCTTTTCATATTATGAATATTTCGAAGATTTACCTGTTCAACGACATCTTGTGTGAGTTCTCCAAGTAGTGCACGAATAGTTCGAGGACTCAACTCTGTCATTGGTTCGTAACGACTGTTAGTACTCTAATTCTGTCCATCTGTTCGTAGAGAGGCATGCTGCTCCTCATATCGCTCGATCACAGACTGGACTCCTCCCTGACTTGCTGCTTCCTTATCGGATCTCTGAGACATATTGTTTCACCTTTTGTATTTTCAACACCAAACACCACTGTCCCACTGGGCGTGCCAAATTGTTTCGCACGGGTTAGTCGCTAACAATTAAAAAGGGATCAGACGATTGTGTAAGGGGACAAATCTCTTGAGACAAAATCCCAAAAATGGGTGTTCTTTATTGGCGATGTCTTTACAATCAGAAAGTAAAAACAGAATGCCTCCAAGGGGCGCAAGCACACGAGGTACTGAAAGAAGTGTTTAAATCTAAACTAAGAAATTGAAAGTTACATATTCTCTGTTCGAGAGTTTTTGATTCAGTCCCTTTGCTCTATGTCTTTTCTTCCTTTTATACTCTCTGGATGATCACTTTGTGATCAACCACCTAAAAAGTGCTTGATCGTTCTATAACTGCCCACTTTCCTCGTAATGGCCAACTTGTCATGGAACTACCTTTTCTAACTGCTGCCATTACTCTTTGTACTTCAACCGTCTTCAATTGAATTCCTTGAATCGTGGAATGTGATAGGGCTGCTTAATAACTGCTTTGATAACTGCACTTCTTGATAACCATAACACTTCATGTTTGCTAAGACCTTGGGCGACTCGAAGGTTTGGGCGAGAATAGAGTAGCAGCTCTGGACGACTGCATGGCATTCCGTTCGCTCAGATCCTTGGCGACTTGCAAGCTTTGGCGATGGTGTTACCGCATTCATGGGCCTCCCTATTTGGGCCTTGATCCTAAATTGTCTGATTGAGCTTCGTTTTTTGGGCTATCTGATTTGGGGATCCTCCAATTGGGTTTCATTCCTTGGGCTGTTCGATTTTTATGTGTCAACAGCATCAAAAAATTGAATTACCTTCTATTCGATGTTTGGGGGGTTGACGCCATGGGAAGAAGGTGACTCATCCATTGGTTGTGATGAGGATTCTGGGACTGAAGATGTCTCTTTAAGCGTAGTCCCTTCATCAGCTGGTTTGGATGAAGTAGCCTCAGTGGAGGATGATGGAGCAGGAGCTACCGACACCAAAGTCTTCAAAGGAGAGGCTGAACTTTTCTGAGAAGTCCAAATAAACCATCAGCACACATAAAAGTTTCAAGTATGGAAAAGTATGCTTGTGAGTAAACCAATTTAATTACCTTCCTCCTGATGATAAGAGGGGTATCATCATCATCATCAACATCATCCTCTAGAATGGGAGATGCTAAGGCTGGCCGTTTGCGGCTCGGGGCACTTTTGGCTGCAGTAGGTTTGGCAAGGAGAGAAGAAGATGGACGAGCAGACTGTTTAGCACGACGAGGAGGAGAAGGACTCCGGATGGACAAAGGGGTGACTAAAACAGGAGGAGGGGAAGAAATGCTTGGCTGGTCCAGTGAATGAAAGGCACGATTGGCATCAGTCGCAAACAATCTGTGCTTTACTGACTGCCAGAGTTGTTCAAAAAGGGGATAGATGGCACAGCTAGAATTGAAGGGGGCTAATGAAAAATGGCTCGTCAAAAGAAGATTGCAAGCATTTATAACCTCTGCTTCTGTCTTATTAATAATATGGAAGCGGTCTATCTAGTTCCTTGAATAGCAAGGAGGAATAGGCTAGGTTTGGCCGAAACCAAGTTGGCGAGCAAAAAATTCGGGAGCATATATTTCTACCCCAGCCTTGGCATTGGTCCCAGTCAAAATATCATGAAATAACTCCCTCCCGGTTAAAAATTGGATCCAAATGAGCAGAGAGGTGCTCGCGCTGTCTATAGTGGAGGGAGGATACACATAGTCTGGAGTTAAAAAGGGAGCAAAAGAAAAGAATGAAGGGATTGAATCCAAAGAATAAAAGAATGAAAAAATGTCCCTTCTAGATATATTTACAGGAGCCAGGGGCTCAATGGCTAGCCCATAGCAGCTAGCATAAGGACGAGAAAATGATGGAGCACCAAACGATGGAAAATAGGATCTCAACCACATTTGAGTGAACCAAAGAGGTCCACTGCCAGTGGGAGATGCACCATTCTTCAATTGAGATTGAAGAGAAGCCATGCCTCTATAGAGAGCAGCCAAAAAGAAAGAACATAAATTCAGAGGCCTACCACGCGCCAATTCGTGCGCTATGGGTAAATAACTCAGGGAGGGCTTTATGCTTGGCACACACAAAACATATTTACAAAGACAAACTAGAAAAAAGGCCACTCGCTCAGTATGGGAAGGCTCAGCGCTCGAATGGTTATGAAGGGTTTGCAGGCTTGAATAAGACTCGGTGAGGTTTTTACCAAACTTTGGGGCGCTACCAGAAACTAAGATACCAGGAAAAATGGTATTGCCCAAAGGTGGCAGATTCACTAGGGTTCCAACATCCCTTAAAGTTATAGATATGGGGCCAAGAGGGAAAACAAAGGTATTATACTCAGAAGACCAAAAACTTAAAGCGATCGAAAAAAGTGCTGAATCAAAAGTAGGGGGTTGAAGAGAGATTTCTAACAAATCAGAAATCCCAGCATTATCAAAAAGTGCCTTAGTAGGACCATGGTCCACAAGGCAAGCATGCCATCTATGGAAAACTACTTCAGATTTAGGTCAAGTGCGAATACCTCTTACGCGAAGTGGCCCCAACGGCAGAGAGTTTAGAAATGGAAGACCTTGAGTACAAGGAAACAGCTGGCCTACCGCCGCTTATTCGACTGCCTCTGCATTGTTAAAGAAAGGACCTAGGTAGAACTCATTGAGTTCGACATTGGCAGGTGCGAGAAAGTTCGGAGTTATGTATGGACGATTAAGGAGTTTCTGAAAGTCTTCAAAACTAAAGGAGCCGCCAGATTGAGATTGTGAAGTAGCCATTAGGGACGAAATAGAGTTTTTCAGAGTTACGTAGCAGGAAAGCAAAGAGATGAATAGTAAAATTGTGAGAGAGAAGCGCGAAAAAAGTGAGGCGTGATATAATGGTGCAATGAAATGGCGTATTTGGGGGTTATAAGGGTTTGCAAAGCGTCGCACCTTTTCAAGCTATGGAAGAAAACAATGATTGAAATTCTTGAGAATTTCGAATGTTACTGGAAACACAAAAGTGAATATGGCAAAATTTAATAATTGGTATTAATTCTGCCATATTGGGGGGTAATTGTTGACACATAAAAATTCAGCCCAAATCGAATGGCCCAAAGAATGAAGCCCAATTGGAGGATCCCCAAATCAGATAGCCTAAAGAACGAAGCCCAATCAGACAATTCAGGATCAAGGCCCAAACAGGGAGGCCCATGAACGCGATAACACCATCGCCCAAGCTTGCAAGTCGCCGAGGATCTGAGCGAATGGAATGTCATGCAGTCGCCCAGAGCTGCTACTCTATTCTCGTCCAAACCTTCGAGTCGCCCAAGGTCTTAGCAAACATGGAGTGTTATGGTTATCAAGAAGTGCAGTTATCAAAGCAGTTATTAAGCAGCCCTATCACGTTCCACGATTCAAGGAATTCAATTGAAGATGGTTGAATGACAAAGAGTAATGGCAGCAGTTAGAAAAGGCAGTTCCATGACAAGTTGGCCATTACGAGGAAAGTGGGCAGTTATAGAACGATCAAGCAGTTTTTAGGCGGTTGATCACAAAGAGATCATTCAGGGAGTATAAAAGGAAGAAAAGACATAGAACAAAAGGATTAAATCAAAAACTCTCTAACAGAGAACATGTAACTTTCAATTTCTTAGTTTTGATTTAAACATTTTTTTCAGTAACTCGTGTGCTTGCACCCCTTGGAGGCATTCTGTTTTTACTTTCCGATTGTAAAGACATCGCCAATAAAGAACACCCCTTTTTGGGACTTTGTCTCAAGAGGTTTGTCCTTTACACAATCGTCTGATCCCTTTTTAATTGTTAGCGACTAACCCGCACGAAACAGAACTTAATTCCTTCTTTGCATAAGCTAGCACTTAATTTTCCTCCTAAATAACCAATATAGAATACAAATGGAGATAAGACTTCTAGAGGTTGCGTATATACTAAAAATTGATGCAATAGAAACAGTTATATTCTTCTAGTTTCACCAAAACACTATACCTGGCAAAATTCTAGTCCATGCGATCGAAAATCTATAAGAATCAAAACCCAAATTTTTCATCAAAGCTACATCTTCCTGTAGCATTATTAAATATGATTACTACTCACACTGAAATGTTTGAGAATAAAACTAGAGGTAGACTTTTTATTTGAAATATAAATTAAGGATAAATATCTGAATGTAGTTTCACTTCTTCCACAATTCACATGTTTGGTACTTGATGGTGCAATATATACGCAGAAGTTTAGCCTTTTACTTTTCATTACAAATAACAATTTTTTCTCATTTAGTAATGTTTAATATTCAATCTACCTTACCAAACATGTCATGAACTTCATTACTAGAAATTTGTGCTACAATGCACTAAACTGCTGAAGCATATAAACCTTAAACATATTATAATGATCAACAGCAACACATCCATTGCTAGCATCCGCAACTCCACCTGCCAATCAAATTAACATATTATAATGATCAACAGCAGTGGACATGTTTGTGTGTATAAAAACAGAGAGAAAGAATGAAGAGACAGAAGAGACCAGGTTTCATCTGTGTGAAATAGTCCCAATTACTCATGCCTTTACCACCGGCGTTCCAAGCACCTTCAATCTGTAATATACGACAATAAAAATAATAATCCATATAAGTTATTGTGTGTAATTCTGAAATGTTTATCTTTGCATTTACATCCTCTTCTTTTCTACATGTGCACGAGTTCAACAATATCTAGACCAAGTTTTCTGACAATGTTTTAGCAAATCTCTTCAAACAGCCATACACCCACCTGGTAAGCAGACGTTGCAGCGCCAAATGAAAAATCACCTCCAAAAGCACGGCGAGTGATGTCAATCTTGTTTGATTCACACATTGCTAACAATCTACAAATGGAACACTTAAAATTGAAGTACAAGTGTAAGTATTATTCCCAGTAATGCAATTGTTTATATAAAATGCTTGTTGTACATTGATTTATCATTTTGCATAATGTTTTTTTAAGGATTTACAAAATGTCTTACACAATAATCGAATAATAGATTTATTTCCTTTTTTTTTTTTTTTTAAATTACACCAATAGGATGCAAATCCATAGGCTTTAATGGGAAAATAAATAATCCCATCTACACGTGAGGGGTCTCTTCAAAAAAATATTAAATGATTGCATTTGATTATTTCACAGAAAAACTTAAAACAAGTGGTGCAGCAACATTAATTTTCAGTCTCAAATTAGGATTCCCTTTTCTTCAATTTATTTAACTGAGATAATATTTGCATGCTGATGTGGATTGGAAAATTAAATTATCTGCGACAAATCACCATGATTAAAGCAGATATTTGTCATATAGATATTGAAATTTTTTGCAACAGTATTCTCCTTGATATCATATTTCACCCCAGATTCTTGTTTTAGGTTTGTTAATGTGCCACCTTGTCTGCTTTAGGTGCACTGCCTTAGCACTACTCGTTGTGTTTTGTCAAATGTAATGTAAGGACGTGCTATATTTACCAACAACGACTGTAAACTGTGAATAGAGTAAATAAAGTATATAAAGCCATATTAAGTCCCTATTTGGTCCTGATTTTTTAAAATTCATTTTTTTAAAACTCATTTCAATCACATTGTTGCGGAAGCTCTCTCAAAAGATCTACAAACGGTGGTTTTCCAGGCTCAGTCCAACGTACCTTTCTCTACTAACAACCAATCCAAACGGCTCCAAACCATAACCAATTGATTCACTTTGGTTGCTATACAATCTTACCCACGTAAGATAAGAAAGTATGATGATTTATGGCCACAAAGGCTAGGAGAAGACACCACAAAGGTATACTATGAAAGAACTACCAATTGCACAAGTTATACAAGCGTTTTGGACACTTCTGGACACCTTTTTCTCACACAAAAGGAGGGCAGCTGGGATTCACTAGTTTCTTCTCTCAAAATCACACAATCATCATGTCAAAGAGGCTAGAGTTATATTCATATATATACTCTAGGGTTAGGCTTTAAGTTGGGCCATTAAAGGGGTAAATGGGCAAAGATTCAAGCCATCCATAAGGAATACAATTGGGCCGGGTGTAACTAATGGACTTGGTTGTTGGACTTATTTCATTCATCGGCCTATGCCTATGAAATAATATTAACCCACGTTAACATTATAGCCCGGGATTTATTGGGTATCAAAAACCCAACACACATATTTCATGAGACACATATTTTAATAACTTTCTACTGAAATTTTGATTTTTATCTAACCCTAATAGAGGCTAAATAAGAGTCAATTATAAATGAAAGAAATTTGAAAAAATAGTTTGTAAAACAATTTAGAGTTTCTAATACCTGACATAATATTTATACAGGCGAAGTATTGTTTCCACACAGTGATATTCATTGGTGTTAATAAATAGATTCACGTTATTTTGTTACTAACAGCCATCAGAATAATTCAATAATGTCCAAAAAATATAAATATCAATCCATTAAAACTATAATAGTGAACATATAGAAAGAGAACTGCTAATCGAAAATGATAAATATACCAGAAAACTGTAATGTGGTGGGAATGAGATTGAAGCAGCGTTCTTTCTTCCGCCTATTTTGATGAACGGCAAAGAGAAGAATTATAAATTACGATCTTCGGAGTTAGCCTCAAACCTCCGTTAGCTTGCTGCATTAGCAAAGGTTTGTTTTCAATTCAATTCCCCTTAAAATCTTTATTCTTCACGTTTAAATCAGTGAAGTACAACTTATTCCCTAAAACAAAGGCAAATTCCAACAAAGTAGCCAAACATTCTGAACTAAAAAAATGTTGACTGAAAACTAGTCGACCTATTCAACAGAGAACAAATTATAATAAATTATGTGTGTGGAGTAATGCTATTCCTAGTGAAAACTGTCAGTAGTCGCTCTATGTGGCATACACTTGGCAATTTGGTACTTGATACGTAGATATGGTAGTTATTTTTTGAATTATACAACAAATAAAAAACTACCAAGTATATGTCACATAGGACGACTGTCGACAGTCTTTACTGCGAATAGCATTATTCATGTGTGTGTGTGTAAACTTCCAAGCACAATTGGAGGCACGTAACGTTTCCTCCCTCTCAAAGAGCTTCCTTGTCCTCAAGGTTTCCTTTTCATGCAATTAGCTATGCGGAAAGTTATACCTCCAGTCTATCTTCTTCTGTTCACGAACTTCTCATTACACTTGAAGCATAGGCCTCTTTTTCTTCTATCTTTAATCTCTCCTGCAATCATCCTTTCAATTGGTGTATAGTTGAAGAATTGAGAATGAATTCGGGATATGTAAATTTTGGATTCCTTTCCTCTAAATCACGAGCTTCGTAAAGTGTAACGACCCAAAAATTTAAGATTTGAATCGTTATCAAAATTTTGAAATGGTAATTTACTCTAATTTGTAGAAAATAATTTATGTATTTATTCCTAAAAGGAAATAAATAATACTTTCTTACGCCATATCTTAAACGTAGAAGCTTGGAAAGAACACGTAGAATTAATCTGTAAAGTAAGAATTAGAGACAGAATCATTTTACACATGTTTAATAGTTTCCATTTGACTCTCTCTATAAATTTATGTGCACCTATGCAGAAATTAGAAACATTTATATACACAGGAAGCATAATATATTTTCTCTTTCTTCAGTAGGTGGGATATGACATCAAGATTCACCCATTTTAAATCATTATGGTACATTGCATTTATTAGACATGTATGGCAATTGTAAATCAATTTCAAAAGTTGCTCCATGTTCCAATTTCCACTTAACGTAATTATTTATCCCAAACTTGAATAACAAGGAAAACACAAAATAACCCAACCAAGTTAAAATTCCAAATCATCATCTGAAATTTCGTGTCCAAACAAAAACTAAGTCCCAAATTTAAAATTTAACGAACAAGTTCGACAAATAAAAAAATCTAAGGTTACTGCTAAAATTTAGAATGTAAGACACGTTACACTGAATTATTTTATTTAGTCCCAAAAATCTTGGTTCAACGACTGCACCTCATCGCCTACCGAACAACGACCTGATCCATCCTGTAACGAGTAGGGAAGAGGGGTGAGTACATTTGAATACTCAGTAGGATATAGAAACTAATGGTGTGATCCCATATAAAATTTTAAACAAATGTATCAGAAAATCATACTATCTCATATATTTAAATCCGGTAAGAGCTCATACTATATCATATTATTTCATTGTACCGGAATGACCATATCATTCATATCATAGCATTTCATACCATAACTTTAACTTTCATAATTACAAAATTTATCAACATGTAAAAAAATAATTAAATGGGACATAAAACACTGTACCTCGATATCCTACCTTTAATGATACAACGAAAATGTTGTAAGACCCTTCTGAAAATACGGGCCATGCCCTCTTCACTTAAAATTCTAGTAGAACTTTGAATATGAATATTTGTGGTGTATATTTTCTTTTGACTTGAAATGAGATGAAAAATAAAACCAACCAGATTGTTATAAAGGAGAATTTATGTAGATTTTTAATTAATATTGAATTAAATATATTCTCTCTTTAGAGATAAGTCAATTACACATAATAAAAATTTTATACAAGGATTATTTGAAATTAAATTTAAGAGAAAAATTTTCAAATCCCCGTCATCCATTCATATTTACGGTTATGGTTAATTTTTATTATTTATTTATTTAAAAAAAAAAATTCATCAACACATGGCGGAAGAAAGCAGATTTTTGGTTACTGCTTAAACCAAAACAGATTTGTGATAGGATAAAAGATACATTGCATTATATAATAATTTGTTACTTTGCAGATTTCTGCACCATGCACGTGTGCAGAATTGGATATGATTAAATCTTTTTCAAATTAGAGATAAACATGATTATAAAATAAAATATTATATTCTTTTGTTAATTATCATTAAATGCACATTATTAAAGAATAAAATAATACCTATTAAATACGTTTCTTTGAATTGAAATAACTTGGGCTTAACTAACACGATTTTGCATTTTCTCGAGTCCAACATACATGATTAATTACGATTTATCTAACGAACCCAATATTCATATACTCAGTATCACTCCGTCAATATCTACTTTTTATCCCAAATAAAATTGAAATTTACTTTACGTATACTTTAGTCCCTACACTTTTAAAACATTAAAATATAGTATACAAAAAATTAAATTCCATTCTACCAAAATTTTCGGGACATTACATAAAGACCAGCAAGCCTGATTGCTTAAGTCGAGAATAGCCTTTTTGATACCATTCACGAATGCACATGTAAGAATTAATTTCATTAAAGACCCCAATGCAGTTGGTGTGAATCAACGTGGTATCAAAGCCATACATGAATCAATCAAGAAATAAGTGGAACGCTTGAAAAAAGATGGTCGAAATTATATCTAATTGCCAAAAAGGTTTTTGGTGCATGATTAAGAATTCTGAAATGTTAGATAAATTGCAATTTTCACCAAATGGCCAAGATAGCAAAAGTACAGTTGAAAATTTGGTGATACGGGCGAATACAAACAAGGTCACATAACATCAGATCCAATGCCACAGGCTTTGGTGCCAGCAAAGGTTCATTCTAATGATGTGGGAATAGAAGATGTTATGTAGATCGAAGTCTTGAACTGTAAGTGTTATGCCCTAGATCCAATCGATTTAGGTTGTAAACGCTTTTAATATATTTAATGCATTTGATTTTGGCGAGATCTATTATTTATTTAAATTAATTTTGTAATAAATAATATTAAATAATAGAATCCGAAGGTCCAATTTTTAGGTAATCTGTTAATCACAAGGAGTTGTGATTATGAGATATAAATTACATATAATTGGATCTTGAATAAACCATGGTCGTAAGTAATAACGAGATACGGATATCGTTAATACAGTTAGACCATCACGTGTGGCATTTCTTACTTGTGAAGTAAGTAGCTGATCTCACGAGTTAAAGTGTGGGGATACTTAAATGAACACGTGGATGTTTTGTTATAGAACAAAACATTGGAGACCCGCTAAGAGATTCCACAGGATAACTATCTGAGTGTCAGTGGCTAATCTCTAACGTTCGGTAGTGGAATTGATCCTTTGACTTGAGGTCGTCATAGTACCTTATATGAGGACAGTCATACTTTGACGGTGTTGGATGTTGCTCTGAAAGGGGCCGCTAATACGACATCGTTCGGGTACGTCAAGAATCGTATGAAGGTTGTGATTGATCAATAAAGGATTCGTCACTCTTAGATAGTAGGAGATTATGATCTACGTTTCATTCAATTAAGTCGATGATGAAATCCTTGGCCAAGGTGTACTTATAAGTCGAAAAGGAGTTTTCGATTTATATTGACTTAATAGTGGAGTGAAAGATATGATCAATGATCGAGATTGACACAATTCCATATCTCGTAATTGATCAGATCATATTGATGAAGGGATAATAGTTTCACGGTAAACGAACGAATTTGGTTTTGTCATATCATGTGACATTTCCCGTCACATATATTGCCCTGACACATTGCTAGATGTCAATCGGGGACGGCGAGTGTGAATTGACGATAAATTAAAAGGGTGTATTAATTTATCAATTTTTGATTAGATCAAAAATATTTCACGACGTTAGGCATCGTGGTCGGGAACCTAATGGGTCGCACACAAAACAGAATTGGAAGATTGCAAATTGTCAATTGGTTAATTTAACAATCGTTGGATAAATTAATTAATTGAATTTGTTTTTTATAATCCCGAATTAATTAATTGGATTAATTAATTCACGGACCGAATTTAATTAATTGGATTAATTAAATATTGGACCGGACCGAGTCGGGTCCGTTTGGGTTTATATATATATACACAGCTAGGATTTGAGGTCCATAAGGTATGCATTATTCTTGCTGGCACAACAAAGAAACCCTAGCAATTGCAGTCTATTCTCTGTGTGGATTACATTAGAGGCTGGACAATTGGACAGCTGTGGGAGGTAGATTCAAGCTGCTGGAAAGGAATAACGCGAAGGAGTTTGCAAATTAT